ATAAGTTAATCGTTCATAATGTATAAACAATAGGTAAATATTTTCATTTTTTCATTTTTTTCTGCTGTTGCGATTCTATGCCAACTTTTTTTGAGTGAAGTATATAGAAACCCACAAGTCCCCTTTTTTTATCTACTCAGCATCATTTTTGTTACCACTGGGACCACCATTGGACGACAGTATGTACTTAACGCGATGACGGTACAATACTATCAAAAAATATTATATATATACTATCAAAGAATATTATATATTTATATAATTTATATATTATATTCTTTGATAGTATATGATAGAATATGATATATTCTTTGATAGTATAAATAATTTTATCTTTTATCTTTACTCTTCTTTGTATTTATTATACATATATAACAAATTTTTGTTTCAATTTACTTTAATTCCTGGAGGATGGCTATAGTGCTTTATGTCAATTGTTTTAAAAATATCTGCAACGAGGTTTCTTTTCTATATGATTGTTTGTTTCTGTGTGGTTTTTAGTGTATATTCTCTTTATTTATTATTATTTATTTATACTCCGTCCCTTTCGGGTTTGGAGGGCTTCCGATACAACTTTTCTTTTTACAAATATTTAACATCTCTTATATACTCTATCTCAATATATTTTATCTTTATAGCAAAAACTAAAACTAAAACTAAAACTAAAACCAATTTTTTGAACTAACTAACAACATAACAAACACTTCTATATACAGTTTTCTCTTCTTTCCTCTTCTTCCTTCTTCTCTACTTCCTTTCTCTTCCTTATAACTTTTCTTAATACCTCTATCCCTTTTGCATCCTGTCCTAAGGTATTTTTTAAACTCTTCCTCCTTCCAATACTCCCTGCCTTTGCACTCATTTCCACACCTGAACCTCGCTATTATTTTTCTATCCCCAGCTGACATCTCTTTTTGCAGGTATTCCGGCTCCTTCTCTGCCTTTATCTTCTTATAATTTGCATTGTATCTTGATCTTTCTATCTTTTCCATTCTCCTTTCTCTATCTTTTCTTTCCTTTCTCAAAAGTATCTTCTCTCTCACTTCTTCCTTAAAAATCATGCCTCTCATATACCTTGTCTCACCTATTTTCTCCCCCCGCAATACCTCTATCCTCTTTTTTGACTCCTTCCCTATTTTCTCTCTTTCTCTGTCTTTATCTCTTTCCCTTATACATTCTTACACTAATTTTATATTTGAATCCCTAATTTTCTCTTCAAACTTTAATGCTCTTTTTAACCCTTTTATTCTCATCTTTTCATATTTACATTCTTCCTCCACTATATAATTTGGCGTGTTGTTATCTAATCCTAAAACCCATTTCATATACCTTCTTTGTACACTTTCCATCCTCTCATCTTCCTCCCATCCCCATATCTCCGCTCCAAACAACGCCACACTTTCCACTAGCGCTGTGTACAACTTCATTCTTCTTCCATAACTCCTTCTAAATATTCTCTCCCCAATACTCCACGCATTCTTCATTGCCAAAATTGCCTTCCTCTTCCTCTCCTCCATATGCCTGTCATTTTTTCCATTCTTCTGCAGTATGTACCCTAGATATCTTATCTTCTCCACTTCTTCTAACTCTTTGTCCCCCCAATTCTATCTTCTTTCTTCTCCTCTTCTCTTCTCAAATACTAAAATTTTTGTTTTTTCCTCACTTAATGTCATTTTCTTAGATTTTAGGTACTTTTTAAACCTTCTCAGCATTTCCTTCAACTTCTCTTCTCTATCCGCTATTAACACAATATCGTCCGCGTAAGATATACTTCATACTTTTTCGTTCCCGATTCTGCATCCCCCACTTTGCCCTTTTTTCATCTCCTCCTCCAGGTATTCTCTTTATTTTATTCCTTATTTTTTAAATATCAACAAAGATAACTTGATAGTTTACTAATACAATCTTATGATTTGCAGATTTCCAAGTATTTGAAGATTTGGAATTGCACAGCATCAATAAGAATTTCTCCTTGTAACTCGAAATAATGATTACAATTATTACTTATATGGACCGTTTATTTTGAAAGTGGTGTAAGTCCATTTAAAAAAAATGAGATATCACGTAATTTATACTTAATTTAGTGTAAACTTTCTATTTATAACTTATTTGTATTTAATTTCTTTAAAAATGTCAATGCTTTATCCAATTTAAAATTGGCCGGTAAAAGAAATTRCGTAACSATTGATTATGARARTGGTGTAARTCCMATTTCCATAGAAAAAAAAGAAAAAAATAATATAAAAAAGAATT